CAGGCAGCAGTGCTTGCTAAAGCAGAGAGGACTTCCCTGGTCCTGCTTCCTCTGCCTGCCTCCCAGATAGCCACATACATGGGAATCTTCCTGCTCCCTTGCCAGTGACCCAGGCTGAGATGGGTAAAGGGAAATAGTGCCAAGCCCCGGTCTGAAAATGCAAAGCTGCCACAGGGACCCAGGTTCCACTCAGCAGCCACAGAGCAGGGCTGACCTGCAGGTCCCATTACCCGGCTCTGGAACAGAGAGGGTCCTAATAACTGAAACAGTGAGGGTCAGGGTGCCTATGTGCTCAGCAGTCCTCTGGGAAGAAAGCTGCTTCTGTACTGGTCCCAGATGGCCTGTGTCCCCACACTGGCCAATTGTTTCCCAAGGAGGAAATTCTTCCAGTTCCAAATCTATTCCCTGTCCCCCATTAAAGTGATTAAAGTGGCCTTGAATGGGGGATGCTCTTTGGAAGGGGAGGTCACTTGAACTAGGTTTCCAGTACATTTCCCAAGATGCATAAATTGGGAAAATTTTAAAGGAGTGATAGTAGAAATAATATCTTAGAGAAGATTTAGTGAGTCTGCAGGTAAGTGAACTGTTTCACTTCAAATCTAGTCACGCTGAGCCCTCATAAAGGAAATTCATGTATTGGGTATGTTGAGCAAGAGAAGCCCAGCTTGTGGCACGTAATCAGAATGCAACTTAATTTTGTTTGCTACCATCTCTTTAAATGGTTTCAGTGGGAGAATTCTTCCCATGCCTCTTGAAAACTTAGGGAGTTGTTCTGATCACTCTTAAAACCCCATAGAACACAGAAACAAATTCAGAAATAAAATCATACAGTACGTTATGCAACATTCAAGCTTTACTCAAAGGCAAGCCTCCTCCCCACTCCAGGAGTTCTCAGAGAGAAATTCTCTACCAGGACTACAGTACATCCCGTGGCAGAGGTGCCAGCTGCAGGAACTTTGAACCCTCCCAAAACCCTGGGGCCTGAAAGATTTCAAATGCAAAACTTCTCCTAGCATCACGGGGCCCCCATATTGGTCTGCCGCAAGGTGATATGACTGGAGGAATGGCTCCGGTGCCAAAATGAGGACACAGAAACAAAAGCTGAGCAAGGAGAGGAGGTGGGACTCTGCATGGAGGGTGAGCAAGGAAGGTTTCATGGCCCTCTTCCCCTGTGGCTCTTTGCCTTCCCAAAGCAGGGCCAAGTGCCCCCAAGACACTGAGACTTTCCCAGGGCTAAGGAGGATCCGGCTTGGATAGCACAGGATGCCCTAATTTCAAGCAGTCCACCAGTAGGAGAAAGGGGGTTTTAAGTCTCAACAACCCATAGTGAATGCAAGTTTGGGGGGTGGGGTAAAAAAGGAGAGGGTGTCACAGGGCAGCTGTCAAATTAAATGTCTCTATCCTCCAGGCCACTCTCCAGGACTCTCTACGGTATGCTGACAGGCTGAGGCATAGCTCCAGAAGCTTATTTGGACAACTGCAGATCTGCAGAGATGGTGAAACTGCAAGTCTAAGCATATCTCCCTGGGTCAGGTAGGACACAAGTAGGTCATGAATGGCATCCAAACACCTGGGCTACAGCTATTTGGGAAGTAGGGTGTGAAGGAAGCCCTAGGCCAAGGTTGGCCTGAGTATATTTTCTAGACTTAGGGTTGAGAGGGCTGTGGTCACAGCCGCTCCATTTGATGCCACCCTTTTCAACACACCCCCACCAGACCCACTACCTAGGGCCCCTACTGTGGCAGGCAGAATAATGATGCCTCAAAGATGTTCACGTCTTAATCCACCAGACCACATACTATATTACCTCACAAGGCAAAAGGGACTTGCGAATGTGATTAAATTAAGGATCTTAAGTTAGGGAGGTTTTCCTGCATAATCCAGGTAGATGGGCCCAAAATTATCACATGGGTCTTTATAGGAGGGAGGCAGGTATGTCAGAGTCAGAGAAGGAGATGTAACAACAGAAGCAGTGGTCAGAGTGATGCATTTACTGGCTTTGAAGAGGAAAGGGGGGCACAAGCCAAGGAATGTGGGCAGTCTCTGGAAGCTAGAAAGGCAAGGATTCTCCCCTACAGCCTCCAGAAAGAATGCAGCCTTGACAACACCTTGACTTTAACCAGTGAAACTGATGTCAGACTTTTGACCTCCAGAACTATAACATAATTTGTGTTGTTTTAAGCCACTATTTTTTTTTAGTAAATTGTTACAGCAGCAACATGGGAAACTATAAATGTGGCAAGAGAATATTGAGATGATTCTTTCAGGATCCTAAAGCACCAGTCAAAAATAATCTTAATGAGACCACAACTCCCCACCTCACCCCTGTCCAATGATACCATTTTTACTGCAGGAGATCCCCCTTCCAAATCTGGAAGTTTCAGGGCTGTTCACATCCAGACTTTAGTCTCTATCAGGAACACCATACTGTGTCTCAGCAGTGGGCATAGCTGTCCCTCTTCATGGGCTGATTCCCAATTCTGGAGTGGATGTATTTTTGATACGAGGAAGGGTCCCCTTTTGGAGAGAAAGCCCCTGATGGAGGATTCTCCCTCGCCAATGATGGCATTCATTCAAAGATAATGGTGACTCATTGGGTGGTAGTGGGAATAAATGGCCAGTCTTCATAATTTCTGTATGAGAAACATCGGCAAGTGCTAAATAGTATTCAAGTATCCCTGGAGGAAGAGATTAGGAATTAGAAATACTAGGGTTAAAAAGACACCCCAGCCTAGGGCTTCCCTGGTGGCACAGTGATTGAGAGTTCGCCTGCTGATGCAGGGGACACGGGTTCGTGCCCCGGTCCGGGAGGATCCCACATGCCACGGAGCGGTTGGGCCCGTGAGCCATGGCCATTGAGCCTGCGCGTCTGGAGCCTGTGCTCTGCAACGGGAGAGGCCACAACAGTGAGAGGCCCGCGTACTGCAAAAACAAACAAACAAAAAAAGACACCCCAGCCTAACATCAGTACTCAATGTTAATATTATTAGAACTATGTATTATAATTAACTTTATTATACAATTTTTGGTTTTCTCTGAAGTTAATAATTGCCTTGGTTTTGTTTGTTTCGTTTTCTAGGTAACCATCACTTTTTAATTTTCAAACTCTGGTACTGAAGTATAAATTTCTCAAGATGTTCAAACACATGAGGAAATTGCCCTGCTTTATTTTTTTCTTGGTTACATGCCTTCTGAGTCCCTCCAGCCTCCCACTCCCCTCTGAACTGGTTCCCCTCTAGGCTGACCACAAGGGCTCTTCTGCTGGATTAGCTCTATTTTGGGGTTACGAGTACTAAATTGGCTGAGAGGTACCCTAAAGGAAACAGCCTTGGAGTATGTGCTGGTTCAGATTTTTTTCCTGAAGAGACTTTATAGCCCCAATTCATACAAGGAACATTCTCAGTCATATTGGACTTAACACCAACCCCCAATCAACCTCCCACATTTTTAAACTGTTAGTGTGTCCCACATTTTTAAACTGTAAATCTGACAAACAAAGATGGCTAGCAGGATCTCAAGGTGGAGATAAGTGAACACACACCTGAGAAGAAGAAGCTGTTAATAGTGCCAGGATAGTAGCCCTGGCCCCTAGTATACAAGGAGGCTTGAGGTCACACTAGTCCCTGGCCGGTCACCTGGAGGGGCAAGTGTTCTAGAGACTTTGACTGAAGAAGGGAGCCACAGTACCAACTGCATTCTGGACGCCAGATAAAGAAATGGGAGCTATGGATGAAAAATGACGATGTCATGTTGAATAATCTTTTCCCTAGTTTCCTAATTTCTTAGCCAATTGTCCTAGAGCATGTGTTCTCAAATGAAGGTGACAAAATCTTAGATGTTACAATGGTTCGTGGCAGCAACATGATCAATCAATTATCAGTACATAAACAGATATACAGTATATCTGTGATATTAAAATTTTATGGGGGGCTTCCCTGGTGGCGCAGTGGTTGAGAGTCTGCCTGCCGATGCAGGGGAAACGGGTTCGTGTCCCGGTCCGGGAAGATCCCACATGCCGCGGAGCGGCTAGGCCCGTGAGCCATGGCCGCTGAGCCTGCGGAGAAGGGTGACTTGGAAAATTCACTAAAAAAGTTCCTTAGGAGGGAAATAGCAAAAATAATTTTTTTTTAAGGTTGAGAAATGCTCTTCTAGAGAAAGTTGGTTTTGACTACTGGTCTCTTCAGAGTGTATTTTTAAATATATTTTATTCGATTATTAAAATTTGAGTGAAATGGAAAAGTGGATTGTTTCCTGTTGTGTTCATGGCTGGAAAACTAATTCCTACAAAGCCTGCATCATATCAGGACCCATTAATAGTATGGCACAGGAAGCAAAGGTAGAAACAAGGAACCCAGGGTTACCTATTAGTAATTGTCCAGGTTTATAAAAATTAGAGAGTGAGGGGACACCTTGTATATGAAATTTTCACCCAGGCGTAAGATAGGGATGGTTTGTACTTGCTTCCAGGACCAACTTGGTGGTGAGGCTACTTGTGTTCATAGCAGTTGCCTGGAATAACATCTCAGTGCTAATGAATGGACTTCCATTATAAGTTTGCATTCTTAATGCCGTAACGACTCTAATAATCAACTATTCCACCATCTTTGAAAATACTATAGTGAAAATTGACTGAGAATAATTCGAATAGCCTCAGATATCAGAGGCAAACTTGGGAGCCCTGTGGTAAAACATTGGGTACCTTGAATCTATCAATTGTTCGAAGAAAGAGGTCAGACTGCTCAAACCACAGATCCAGCATCTGGGCTGGGAGTGACTGGGATAGAAAGTGGGATTTAAGTGGGCCCAGCTGGATAACTATTGTTCTACTTGATGAATGCTTTTAAAGAATAGCTCCAGGACTTCCCTAGTGGTCCAGTGGTTAAGACTCTGCGCTTCCAAGGCCGGAGCTGTGGGCTCGATCCCTGGTCGAGACACTAGGATCCCACATAACATGCGGCTGGGGAAAAAAAAAAGAAAGAAAAGGATAGAGCCTGCAAAAAGAAGCTCCCAATTTTCATTCTCACATTATTTCAGATTCCAAATGCAGAGGATCTGAATGTGTACAGCCCTCTTAAGTTTTTGTTCTGTTCGTGAGAGGAATTGATGATAATGATGAATCTTTCCTCCCATCTTCTGTTCCTCCGCCCCTAGCTCAGTGTTGGTTCTATCACCTGAGCTGCAGCAGGAGCCTCAGATGAGGCTGGGCTTCCCGGAAGTGCTTGCAGCTGAAGTCACCACGTCACTGAGCAGGTTTTGCTGGAGGGAGAATGACATGTGAGTACACCAATGACGGTCTCCATACACGCAGGCCTGTGGGCAGTCAGAAACACAGACCCTGCCGTGTAACTTCTAAAATAATTAGAAACCAAACTGCCCTGGCGGGATGAACACTGACATGTGTGGGAAGGTCAGGTAGGCCCAGTACTTGCTGGCTCCGTGGGGACGGCTCCACCTCTTCTGGCCCCAGAGGAACCTGATCTCCCAGCGGATAGGACTGTGAATCCACTGCTGGACTTAGCAACGTGGAAGAGGTTTCAGTGGTGACCTGGGACAAATCCTGAATGGAGTGGATGGGAGGGAGAATGAGGGGAGAAGGAATTGGAGACGGTGAGAACTGACTACTTTTTCAAGTATTTTGATGCAAAAATGAGTAAAGAAATGTGACAGTAGTTGGGGCAGAGGGAGAGCTGGGATCAGGAGAAGATGGAAAATGGAAGAGATAATTGTTCAGTTGTATGCTCATGGAGAGTGGCAGGGGCCAGGCTGATGATGTCAGCTGTAATGGATGATCAATCAATTCGATGGAAGGCTTCAATGGAGTTGAAAGATTGCTGAGTTGGGACATGACAGGCAGAAAGTTGGAAAGTTATAGTTGAGATGATGAAGAGCCCAGACACTATCTTAAACCCACAGAAAGGTATCCTGCAGAGGGATGCAGGATACTGCCAGAGTGAGGGAGCCTTATTAAATTCTGCTGAGAAGGCTTCTAGTTCCATGGAGGACCATGAGGGTAAGGGCCTGCTGTGTGGATGGCTGGGTAGCAACCCTGGAACACCTAGGTCCCCAAGGACCTGGGAAACGGCCACAGTGTCAGCCCTGGGCTGCCTATCTCAGGACTTCCATGTAGGAGAGAAAAATCTTCTCTCACTTAGGTTACTGTTATTTTGGTTCTCAGTTCTTTGCAGCTGAACCTAATTCTAACTAATATAAATAAGTAATTTTAAAAAGCCTGTGTAGCAAAATTACAAAATTATATGTTAGATAAAACAGAATTGGGGGCTAAAAGTAATGAGCAGTGAGAAAGAAGGGCAATACCTGATAATAAAAGGAGCATTTTGCCTCCCCCAAAATCGTGAACTTAAAGGCATTTATTAACATAGTATGTTATATAAATATGTATATGTATTTAAATAGACTTCATTTTTTAGAGCAGTTTTATGTTTACAGAAAATTGAATTTACCCCCCTACCTCCACACATGCATAGCCTCCCCTATTATCAACATCCCTCACCAAAGTGGTACATTAGTTCCAATCAATGAACCTATGCTGACACATCATTATTACCCAGAGTCCATAGTTCACATTAGGATTCACTCTTGGTGGTGTACATTCTATGGGTTTGGACAAATGTATAATGACATGTATTTACCATTACAGTATCATGCAGAACAGTTTCAGTGCCTAAAAATCCTCTGCTCCACCTGTTCATCCCTCCCTCTCCTCTAACTCCAGTCAACTATTTATTATTTTACTATCTCCGTAGTTTTGCCTTTTCTATAATGTCATATAGTTGGACTCATCCAGTAGATAGCCTTTTCAGATCTGGCTTCTTTTACTTAGTATTAAGCATTTAAATATGCTTGATGTCTTTTCATGGCTTGATAGCTCATTTCTTTTTAATGAGGAACATTTTTCTGTTGTTTGGATGTACCACAACTTATTTATTCATTCACCTACTATAAAACATCTTGGTTGGTTCCAGGTTTTGGTAATTATGTATAAAGCTGTTATAATATCCATGTGCAGGTTTTTGTGTGAACATAAGTTTTAACTCCTTTGGGTAAGTACCAAGGAGTGTGACTGCTGGATTTTTATGGTAGGAATATGATTATAAAAAACCACCAAACTGTCTTCCAAATTGGTTGTACCATTTTGCATTCCTACCAGCAATGAATGAGAGTTCCAGTTACTTCACATCCTCACCAGCATTTTGGTGTTGTCAGTGTTCTGGATTTGGGCCATTCTAATAGATGTGTAGTGGTACCCCTTTGTTGTTTTAATTTGCACCTCTCTGATGACATATGATGTGGCCCATCTTTTCATATACTTACTTGCCATCCTTATATCGTCTTCAGTGAGGTGTCTGTTAAAGTCTTTGGCCCATTTTTAAACCAAGTTGTTTGTGTTCTTATTGCTGAGTTTTAAAAGTTCTTTATATATTTTGGATAACAGTCCTTTTTCAGACTGTATTTTGAAAAGCCTGTGGCTTGTCTTTTCATTCTTTTGGCAGTGTCTTTCACAGAAAAGAACTTTTTAATTTTAATGAAGTCCAGCTTATCTTTCTTTCATGGATTGCGCCTTTAATGTTGCATCGAAAAAGTCATCACCAAACCCAAGATCATCTATATTTTCTCCTATGTTATCTTTTAAGAGTTTCACAGTTTTGGGACTTCCCTGGCAGTCCAGTGGTTAAGACTCTGAGCTTCCACTGCAAGGGGCAAGGGTTCGATCCCTGGTTGGGGAACTAAGATCCCATGTGCCGTACGGCATGGCCAAAAACAGCCAAAAAAACGGTTTCACAGTTTTGCATTTTATATTTAGGTCTGTGATCCATCTTGAGTTAATTCTTATAAAGAGTATAAGGTCTGAGCCTAGATTCTTTTGTTTTATGTGGATGTCCAATTGTTCTAGCAGCATTTGCTGAAAACACTCTCTGCTCCATTGTTTTGTCTTTGCTACTTTGTCAAAGATCAGTTGACTATATTTATGGGGGTCTGTATCTGGGCTCTTTATTCTGTTCCATTGATCTATTTGTCTTCTTTTTTTTTCCTTTTTTTTTTGCCAATACACACTGACATGATTACCATAGCCTTATAGCATATCTTGAAGTCGGGTGGTATCCATCCTCCAAATTTGTTCTTCTCTTTCAATATTGTGCATGTTATATTTTAATATACTCCTATCAGACATGATAGCTCAAATGGACTAAAAAATTAGTACTAAATAAACAGAGTATAAATATACAAAGAGTGACCATGTATTATGTCCTAAAGTTTATTCCTACTGGCAGACAACAGAATCTACTCAAGCTAATTTAAGCAGAAAAGAACTAATAAGATATTAGGTACCTCCTTGATCCTCCAAGAGGGCCAGAGAGCCAGGCTTGTAGACCATGTAGCTGGCACTGAAGTGGTCAGGGCCCCACTGGTCAGGGCACAACCAGGAAAAATGCCTAACCACATCATGGACCGCCCCAGCTGAAACTTAACAGCCATCACCTCTGCCACCTGCACTCTGCACTTTGGACAGTAGGGGGAAGATGCCAGTCAGTGCTCCCTGCATGAGGTTCAAGTCTGGTTCAGCATGTCTTCTTGGGGGAAGCTAGTTAGATAAATTCTCTCCACACTCGGAAAGTCACCAGCCCAGACAGTTCACAGATAAGCTCTCCCAAAACTTTATAGGATAAATAAGCTCTTACATGTTTTTTCAGAGAATAGAAAAATAGGGAAAATACCCAATTTATTTTATGAGACTAGTACAACTTTGATATCCAAATAATTAAGAAAATAAAATTATAAGCCAATCTCTCTTATGAATTAAAAAAATTAAATTAAAAAATTTTTGTCAAGTTTAACACTATATTAAGAAACAAACAAAAAACTAATAACATTTATCATGACCAAGTAGGGCCTTTGGGGAACACCAGGCTGAGAGAAGTAGCCTAGTGTATAATTAAGACAGCAGTTTCTGGAGCCAGTGTGTCTGCTACTTCCTAGCTGTGTGACCTTGGGCAATTTGCCTAACCTCTCTGTGCCTTGGTTTTCTTACCTGCGAAATGAATGTGATAATAGTTCCTACCTCATAGGATTTTTATGCAGACTATATGAGTGATATAAGTCAAGAACTTAGAAAAGAGCCTCAATTAGTTTTCATTATCTCATCAAATGCAGTGGATACAGTGCCAAATAAAGAAAGATGAGACACAAGACTGGCATCAGAAGCAGATACTGGCCAAAGATGACAACCAATCAGAAATCTCTTATCCCTGATGCCCAGATGCCAACCTAGGAGGACAAAGGGTGCCACTCTGGGATGGGTAGAACCCAGAATTAACTGTGTTTTGAACATAAAGTGACAAAGAAATTATTGAATTGGACTGAATTTCCCTGAATGGGAGCAATCAGATTTTTGCATTAGGCAGAATAGGGGCTCAGAGTCCGAATTCAAAAACACGGTTACATTTTAGCGCTCCTGAGTCAAGGCTGTGAACAGGGCCAGCTGCATAATTTGCAGGGCCCAGTGCAAGATAAAAACGCAAGGCTCCTTGTTCAAAAAGCAGGAATAATATGCTGTTAAACGTCCTAAAAACATAATGCTTTTTCCTTTCTTCCAAGGTCTCTCTCTCAACTTGCTATGGTACTTTTAATTTGCTATTTCATGTCATTCAAGTAAAGAAAAATTAAAAATTTAAATTATTAGCATGAATTTTACCATACATCTTTATATTGCACAATGGCAGTTTTAAATGCAAATTTAAGAACATTTAACTCATATGTGAAATCACTGAAATCACCCTATTCATGTTTCAAAGCTCACACATGAATGTGTATTTTGTTCTTACCAGGACAGCGGAAATGCTGCACAAAACAAACTTAACTGGCTTTATTTCACTGCATGATACACACATATTCTACCAACACTCTTCACCTTACTAAGTAAGGAAGGACTTAAAGCAAAGGAACTATGGATTGCCCTAACTTTCCTTTTCCTTCTATAACAAGCAGCATTCATAACATTCCTTATATTCACTTCAAGTCTTGCTGAAGATCCATGCATCATGCGCCCATCAGAAGCCATGGGAAGGAGTGTTATAAGAAGGTTCAGTGTGGAAAGAAAACATGGAGGGTAACACTTCCCTTAGGGAAAACTGCTTTGAGGGAGTAATGGAGGTGGGAGCCACACTGAAGAGAGTAGAGCTGTGAAGGGGAGGTGAGGAAATAGGGACAGCAAATATTAACAAATCGTAATTGGCTCT